CTAGTATGTTTATATGTATAATATTCATGATTCATAGTATATTAACGATATATTATTGAGCTTGTGAAGCTCATCATTCATATATTTTCGATCATAGGTTAATGGATATGATTTATTTGTGGAGCACTATCGTCACAGTATTCTTTTAAATCATACTTTTATACTTTTTATATACCAAAAATTAATATTTTTAAATAAATTTTAAGATTTTTTATTCGATTTTTAAGATTATATTTGATTCAATCGTTCAAATATATAAATTATTTTAAGGTCAAAACTCCATTTTTACTCCTTACTTTATTGAAATTCAAGTCATATACTGGAAATAATTTTCAAACATTTTTACAAAGGGTTTCGGATTTTAATTCGAGTCAAAAATTAATTTTAACCTTGTACTACCAATACTTCAAGAACAATATTGATATTGTTCATATGGTATTGATACCAGTATCGCTACAATGACCTAAAATGTGAAGTAGTAATGATACTTCTAAGAGAAATACTGATACTCCCCATATAAGTGTCAATACTTGAAATGAAAGTATCGATACTCTCTTTACATTTTTTACAAATGCAAATTCCAGTATACCATTTTAGTGTCGATACTCTTATTAGTATAGATACTCTCTTGGTGAGTATTGATACTCACCTTCATGAGTACCATACTCCCTCTCCCCAATGGCTATAATTTTTGTATTTAATGCAGACAGTATAAATACTCTTAGTACGAGTATCGATACTCTCCATAACAAAAATCCAAGTCGTGTGTGAAGACAATAAATCAAAGAGAGAGCCAAAACAATCATATTGAGCCAAAATCAAAATCAAGTCAACATTCTTCAATATTCCTTTTGCTTTCAAAGAACACTTTTGTACTCATTTATTTTATTTGAAAAGTGTTCTTATTTGTTCTTGAATTGTGTATACAATTTCCTTGTGATGTTTTTCCTAGTTTACAAATTTGTAATTTTCTCTTTGTGAGTGTCTCAAGAATTTGAGGTATAATTCTTACGGGAGTTGTAGGGTTACAACTTCTCCTCAAAGGTTGATACAAATTAGTGAATTTGTGAAAAATCCTTAGTGTGGATAGCTAAGGTAGTGGATGTATACTTTGGTTTAGAAAGTCGAACAAATCTAAATTTTTTTGTTCATTTTTCAATTTCCGTTAAGCTTCCACCAAAATTGTTATTTCTCAATTCACTCCCTCTTGGTTATTTCATCTTCTTTATTAACTCAACATATTCTATCATTTGTATATCTAAGTACATTAGTAGACATATGTATCCATAGATCACTTGTATTGATTTGTAACTTTATTTATGATTAGCGTTATTTTGTAAACTTATTTTAAATGCTCTTAAATTTGATGGTTGGATTTTTCATGATTTAGCTTTTATGTGAAAAATAACTTTTTGAGGTGAAATTACATTTCTTATCCTCAATTATTCAACTTTAATTGGTTGTGAAACTAATGCATATACATGCAACTTATCTATTGGATGTGTTCTTATTCATTAATGTTCATATTGATTGTTAGATATAAATTAACATAATTTAAAGATTTATATATATAATTATCTAAATATTTTTATTGAATATAAAGTAATATAATTTTATAATAATTATGTTGAGTATATAATTATTTATTTTAAATTTGTTTCAAATTTATTATGAACATATAATTGCTATAATATTTAAAATATAAAAATAAAAGTTTACAAATAATTCATTCTTAATGAAAAAAGAACTACAGGTATAAATAAGTATTGATAAATTGTTGGGACCACATATGATGCTAGTATAGTTTATAGTCCAAAACATATTAATTACTTAGAAATATTTAGACTTATTCACTGATATAAAAAATGTATGTACTTTAGAGATTAATTTTCATTTAAACTAATAATGTATATTTAAAATTTATATTTTATATATCAAAATATAAATAATGAGTTGCCATTATTTTTATATTCTTATTATAATTTAAATTGATTTACATCGTATACTATAATGTTAGAGAATTTGTACATTACTTAACTTATTTTAAATTTATAATACTGTTTCTAAAAGGATGATTCTTTTACGCTCAACGAGCAGCGATGAGCACCACTAATGAAGAGTACCATTAATTTAATTCATAAAAATTTAAATTCTAAAAGACTTAACGTATAATTATAAATTAGTTAAAAATTTAAAGATAAATTATTTAAAATAAAGGATAAACTATATCGGTGGTCACCTAACTGTTTTCCCTTTTATTTTGACCAAAATTTTGAAATTTTGTCAATCAGGTCACTCAACTATTTAAATACATTCAATTAAGTCACTTGTCGTTAATATTTAACAGAGAAGTTGATGTGGTAGTTAAAATATTTGGTCTAATTAAACATTTGGTCATTGTTACTTCTATATTCTATCAATTTCATCCTAATTTTAATAAATTAAAATAAATTTAACCCTCAAATCAAATGGTATCATGTATAATGACCTAAAATTCAACTTTAAACTATAGTCTCAATCCCTAGATAAACCCTAAAGCTCATGGTTTGGCCTCAGCTCAAGCTCAACATTATCTTATATGTGTAATTAAAAACAATTACGTGAAATAATCTAATTATTAAATAAAGTTTCAAATATTTTTAAAAATAAACTACATAAAAAGTTATTCAAGTATGAGTAAATATTCTTTAAGGGGGAGAGTTATTATGAACCTGGGCATGGTCGAGACTGTTCCCACGGTCCTAGAGGTGGAAATCGAGGTAATACAATAAGCAATGTGTCTAGCCCTCAATCGAAGATCATGGGCACTTGTCCAAATAATGCCAAGTAAAATAAACTTAACCCTCAAATTTTAATTTATTAAAAGTGGGACAAAATTAATAGAATATATAATTAACAATAATAAAATGTGTAGTTATATCAAATATTTTAACTGCCACATCAGCTTCTTCATTAAATATTAACGGTAAGTAGCTTAATTGAATGCATTTAAATAGTTAAGTGACTTGATTGACAAAAATTCAAAAATATTAGTCAAAATGAAATGGGACAATAGTTAGATGGTCACTCTTATAGTTTATCCTTTATTTTAAATAGTTTATCCTTAAATTTTTCACTAATTTGTAATTATACGTTGAGTCTATAAATTAAATAAATGGTGTTCATCGCTGCTCATCGAGATCCGTAAATTTTCCTATCTAAAATAAACATTTTACCTTTTCAAAAATATTATTTATAAAAATACCAACTATTAAAATCTTAATTCAACTTTTAAAAATCACTCATAGCATCATCTAAAAGAAGTTTTTAAAGTCAATGTCAAATTGAATGCTTGCTTTAATAATTTGGACATTCATATTTTATCTATTTGATTTAATTTTTATTTTTAATCAAACTCCCCCATAATTAGCTTAATTGCTTTTTACAAAAAAAATATCTATTATTTTATAATTTATTCTAATATAATATTCTTTTTGTCTAGCTAAATTTCTTCTTTTCGAATTTTAAATTGTCTCATTTAAAATGTCTTATTAGAAAATTAAAAAAATTGTCTCATTTAAAATGTCCTATTAAAAAAATTCAATAAATAACAACACTTATATTTCCTCTTTTACCCTTATTCTTTTACCCATCAAAATGAATCTACAAAATTTATCAATCACTTTTAGGAAGATAATTTTATCATTTCTCTTATTTTATACATGATCAAATTTATCTCCTAAAACTACATGTTTGGCCAATATTAGACACAATTAATTGGAAGCATGGAGTATATTTTAATTTGAAGGTTTAAATTTTATAAATAATTATTATAAGTTATTAGTATTATTATATTATTTATTTATTTATAATATATTCTATGATAGCATGTACTTTTTCTATCTTAACAAAATTATTTTTTATTGACTGTTTGATAATCAACTTTTTAAACTATAACTATAATTATTTTAAATAAATTAAATTTTATAAAATATATATTTAAAAACAACTTAATTGAATATTTATAAAATATAATTTCACATTTTTATTACTAATAAATTTTAAATAATAAGAAATTAAAATTTAAAATGACCGAATAAGAAACAACTTTAATAAAACAAAAGGATACTACAATATGCTCAAGAGACAAGGCACGTGAGTTAAATTCGATTCCTCTAAAATACAAAATGAAACTATATGATTTGGTTATGGCATTAAACAAACATATGAACATATGTCCGAGTTGGGGTGATTATCGAGTAAATGGATCGTGAGTTGTACAGTTTTTAATTTGTGTTCGTTAAAAAAATTTATTGTTCGACTCGAGTCATTACTCGTTAACCTCATTAAAATTTTGCTCAACTCATACTCGTTAAAATAATTTATTGCTTGACTCGTTGCTCATTAAGCACAATGCTCGTCTCGTTGCTTGTTAAGTTCATCGAAATTTTTATTTTTAATTATAAGTAAAACCGTCTAATACCATATAAAACTTCATATAAACATAAATTAATAAATTTAACCAAAAAATTATCAAAAGAGTATATGAAACAAATTCAAAATTTAAATCAAAATAACAATCCATAAATATATTAAAAAAATAATCAAGGTTTGATTTTTAGGTGTAGTAAAATAATAATTATTAACTAATAATTTAACATTTTTAATTATTTATTATAAAATTAATTATTTAATAATTTATCGTCTTTTTTATTATTTGTTAATAAATTAGTAATTTTTTGAATGAAATAATTTTTTAAGATTACTAAAAAATTATAAATAAATAAAAAGTCACGAGTTACTCGCGAACTTATTGAGCTGGACTTTACTCGACTAAGCTTGTTAAGGTCTCGAGTCGAGTCAATCCGAATCGAGCTTTTACAGAGTTTTAATCAAGTCGAGTTCGAGTTGCTCAACTCGTTATGCACTCCTATACCCGAGCCCTTCAAGCTGGGACAAGTAGCCCCTCCCTTAACAGTAATGACATGGCAAACAAATTCATAAATTATGTCGATCAAAATCAGAATATACAAAGTGCAAGCTACAATCAAGGAACTCAAGCATCAGTAACAAAATGTAGCTCTCTCTACATATCATCCTGCGTATTTAAGCCTCATTACAGGTTAGATAGAGCAGGTCGCAGTATATGAACAGTACCTGTTCCGGTAGTTCAGGCCCTTCGGTAAACCCAAAAGCAAAGTTCCCAGAGTCCAGGCTATTTCTTCTTAACTCCAATAACTGTTACTTCACCATTGTAATCAGCAAAACCAGACCAGGCAATACCGAAGCATCAATAACAAAATATAGTTTACTCGAGATTACGAGTGATGAAATGTCATACAGGTGAGAGGGACGCTGTATAAGATCCGTTGCAATAGTTCAAGCCCTTCAGTAGACCTGAATGTAAATAAGGAGAAATAATCGTTTCAGGAATACCAAATTCATCGGCTACTTCTTGCGAGTCCTCGCTGACTGTGGCATCACTATCAGCTATCTGGGAAACCACCCCGAGAGCAACATTTAAGCCAACTGAAGTATGCTCCGTTGTAAAGCTGAAAACCAACCACATAAAATCAGACAAATAGGCAGGTAATCAGACCAGTTTTTGTTTTCCATCTTTCCCTATATATAGAGGTATGATCCACTTACACTAAAAAACTCGTTAGTTTTACAATGATTTAGGATCATTGGACGAATGTACATCAATGGTTATAAAAAACTGTGTATTTACATTATCCACCTCCTGATTTTTACCTGTGTATCTCGGTCATTGATTTACATTCATCAATGATCCTAAATCAGTGTAAAATTAATGAGTTTTATATAGATTTACATTCATCAATGATCCTAAATCAGTGTAAAACTAAAGAGTTTTATATAATGTAACTAGATCTTACCTCGTTTGTATGTGTATATATTACGTTTATGCTTTTTACATTCAAATTTAGGAATTCAGCAGTCATCACGACTGATGATTCTAAAAAGGAGAGATTTGGCAATATATTACAGTATCATTTGTGTCTTTAAATATCTTGACCATTCTGATAACGGCATTGCATTAGGAACTTGAATTTAAGGACAAAAAATTTTAAATTGTTCAACGAGGTTTAATTATTGATTAACTTCACAGATGAGGATCCATTAATGATACACCTAAATGACCCTATAATACAGGATAAGAAATCTGATAGAAAAAATCCAAGGAAAAGAAGGTATAATATATACCTCGCTTCAAAGCTTTGTCCTTTAGATGCCATTAGAGAACATATGTTGCTGATGATCCAAGGGGGAATATGTGAATCTTTGATTTCAACACTGAAACAAAGGCCAGCAGATGAAATTGGCATTGGATGACCTTCATTCAAGGTGAATCCTTGGGGAAGAGTAGTACCATGATCAGCTCTTTTAATCTCCATGCATATAACCTGAAAATTCAATTGACATAGAAAGTTAGAAACATGTAAACCAGGTATTGCAACTAGTGGAAATATACTGTGATCAAGTCTAATCTGCCAATCCTTGTAACAAAATATTGATGTTACATCAAACAAAACCTAGCAGCAATTAGAATGTACGGTGAAGGAAGCTAGATAGAAACAGATCTTGTTTCTGGCAACGTCACTCACCTCTGGAGCAGAAAGAGCAGCATGTTGAAATGGTGCAGGAGAATATAATACGGGAACATCAACAGCATTCAAAAAGGTCAAGAAAGATCTAATGACATAAGGAAAATAAGTCAGGCAAGAGACATTGCATATAATAGGTAAGTACCATCTATTACAACCATCTCAAATGAAACACTGAAACCATATAACTAAATTTAGTGAACGAATTGTCTTTTAAATTTATAAACAAAAGGAACTCACCTATAATTTAACAAAATCTCATACAAACCATGTACATTCTGATTTCCGCTGAAAGCCAACAGAGACTGTGGAGTGTTATCAACATCAGAGAAGGAATTCATGTGTCGAGTCTGCAGAATTTGTACAATGAAGAATTTAGCACAAGAATGTGAAAATACCATAAACGGTGAAAAGGGGACATTGTAGTGGTTACACCAAAGTATTCTTTCTGTTTACAATCCTCATTACGTATTCAATCACTAAGCAAAGCATGGGACCTCTACCTTTAGGTTTTGGACCTCTAAAATTGTTCAGTGGCCCCTGGAAATATTTCTAAATTTATGTTTTAATTTTATCACAAGTTCGAATAATACTGATTTAAACTTGAAACTAGGGATAACAACTCAGCGGCATGAGGGCCTCAAAAGGGGAACTAAAACAAAATTTGAAGAAGACACGAGAAAAACAGCACACTCAGATCAAAACATTCAAAAGGTATCTCATGGTCCAACCAGAGGCATAAATTCTGCCAAAACCCAAATCAAGAAAACTATCATAAAAAACATACAAACCTGGCCCAAATTATGCTTCTCCATTTCTGAAAGCTCTACAAGATCTTCAATAGTCACTTGTTCTACTTGAGAACGGCAAAGAGGCATAGAAAAAGAAACATCCTACGAAACACAAGATATCAATAAAGCATGAAAATAAGTCATAAATGTATTTAATCTGCTGATTGTTGCAACATTGATAAATTCCTGAAAAAGAACTAAATAGATGACAAAGGCAGTATCTGATTTCTCATTTGTCAGTCACGAGATTGGTTGGCAACAGCCTATATCAGTTTCGGTCTTTAGAAATACTAAAACCAGATACTTGTTGTGTCTGTGTGTTTTACTAAAGCATGCAATAAACTGGACTAGCAACCACATAACCAGAGCTGCAAACATGTTTGTAAAGTAAGAAATCAGCAATAGGTTCTTTACAGTGCTGACATTAGCAAAACTTGCTTTAATGTAATGTTATAGCTTTCAATCAGTCTGCCAATTTATCTATAAAGCTGAATGAAACCAGTAAGCCAAGCAAAATAAAGGTTCTCTACCTCGGCACCAAAACGCACTTGGCTAGTGAATTGGTTTAGAGTATCATTAGGATGAAGCATTTATAGACTAGAATAATCACTTTCATAAAGGAAATGCTAACAAGTTATATATAAGAAAACCCTCGCCAACCTTTTAGTTATTATCATATGGCAGTAAGTATCACATGAACATGGTAACTTCACAGAAAAAATGTCTAAGAAACCATTTTCGAAACAGTTTTCATTGAATATGGTTTTCCGCATGATTTTATTGTAATTGTTAAGTACCCAACATAAAGCCAATTAATAGCATGTCAAGAGATCCAACATGAATATAAGACCAAAAGAAATCCAAGAATTACTAAATGTGGGATAACACCATGTTAAGCATCCAACCTATAACTAAGTGGTAATAGGTGGAGGGGCCTAACAAAAAATAAAACCACAAGAACCCTATATGTAATAAATGCGGGATAACACCACTTAACAGTGATCATGATAACAAAATCTATGCAATTTCTTAACTAGTTAAGAATGAAATCTTACGTGTTCTTTTAGTGACGACCTCAAACCTCTGGTTGACTGGGAGATATAAGCTTGGTATGATCTTCTACTTTCCGGACCATCAAAAGAAGTGAACATTACCACAAAATGTGAAGTGCACACTACAAAGTTTCCAGCAAATCATTATCAGGATAGTGGTGCTTTTAAACAAATTGATGCAAATGAGCACAGCACTCTAAAATAAAACCTGAAGCAGAATTCAGTCATCAAAAGAAGAAACAACTTGAAATAAAGGATGAAACCAAGGAAAATTTATGGTCTTGGCATATTGAGAGGATGTGTATGTATTCTCTTTGAAAAGTAAATAAATAAAATTCAGCAACCCATAGAAAATATCATCCCCCAAGTACGCACATGCATGAGATTCGCATGGTATTTACCAAAAATGTTACACAAGCAAAATACAACTGAACAAGATAAATACAAGCACTATTGGGCATGCAGTTATGGAGATGTGTATGTGCATGAAATAAAATTCGATGTTCACATGCCAAGAAGATTGGCGGGTGGTTGCAAAGGTGTCAATGAAAAAATCATAACCATGAAAAAACATGTACCATAAAAGACGCTACAAACATTTTTCCGAAACATATAGTAAAGACTCCGAAATGACTCCTCCCACACTCCGATTCGCTTTCTTAGGAAATCCATTTCCACTGGAGAACAAGGGAAAACATCAATTAGATAACTTCCGATAGGAAGAGAAAGTTGGGGAAGGAACACTCGGGACATGTGTGTTTGTTGGTGCACAAATGAGGTAATTGAAATCAAAAGTTCCATAAACAAACCTCCATCTACTGCCGCTGACGTCAATATTGACATGAGAGATGGTGGTAAAGTAGATTGAGGATAAATCCATGAATGTAATGCTTTAGAATTCAAAACTTGAGAACTCAGTCTGGTCTGTGAAGCACTGATAATATTCTGATCATCTGAAGCACCAGCATTGGTTGTAAATTGAGGCATACCATTGTAGGTAGCACACCTCATTGACCTATTTAACCTGGAATTACAAAAGCAGGACGAAGTTACATAAACAAACTAAATAAGCAGGCACTTAAAAGTGAATAAGGAAGTCATTTTAACTTGGTTAACACACACAAAATATATAGGAACATATCACAGGAGCGCCCTTGTCTCCAAGTAGAGAAAATAGAACAAAATAAATGAGGAAAAACAACAGGTTTACTCACCAATTCACAGAGGATGAGGACACCAATCGCATGTAAGTTTTCATAGTAAAATCCAGAGGAATCTTCTGGCCAGTCACATGGAATTCAGTGCAGAAGTTTCCAGTTGAAACATCACCTTCAGAAGACTCGGGAGGTCTAGTCAGGATTGATTCACAAGCAGCTAGTCCTTTCAATGCTTTATCCTACAAAATATTGATGGCATATTTAGGAGAGAAAACATAATTTATGCAATAAAAGCTTGAGGCTTCTAAAAGCACATACCATGTCAACACTTGCCAAACCTGATAACTTTTGACCCCCAGATGAAAGCTCAGTAACACTAAGAAATGTACCCTGACTACATTTTTCAAGTGTACTATGGCCATTGGGCAAATCATCTTTTGGAACATCAGCAGAAGAAACAGAATTCTTTGAACTGAAAGAAACAACATATAACAATAAAATCAAAGGAAAGGAAAAAATATAGTTATCATGTGCCAAGTATGGAATACTAGGACTAACATACATACCATGAAAATTGTTGCCTTCTCACAGAAGCCGAATTTGAAAGAGCAGAGATTTTCTTTAGGCTGATAGGTAGCTCAATTGAACTATTTTCCTGATAAATGATAACAGAAATGAACAAAGCAATGAACCAGTGATCAACTTATGAATATAAAAATTTTAGCTGCATCAAAATGATTCCATTAAAGTATTTTATGGAAATGTAATAACCTTGGCATTCTCTTTTCCTGAAACCAGTTTGAACCTTGATTTCTTGGCAGGAAATACTTCATCCATACGGGTGTCAGTATATCTAGGATTCCTTGGAGGATCTGGCTTTTTGAATGAATTATCCATCTCACTAACCGAGCAAATAGAGAAGAACAAAGTTCTCAGAAACTTGAAACTTAGTTTAAAATGTTGCAAACAAAAGAGAATTAACAGCACCTACCTTGTGGCCAAATATTTATTAAGAAGCTCAGACACATTGGTCTGCTTAAGCTGTTCCCCCTGTTATGTGAACATTTCTTATTAAGCATAAGACTAAACAACAATTCCTAGTAAAGATTAACTAAGCTAATCCAATTAGAATCCTCCAAGTAATAAAATAAATAACATAAACATGTTAAGCATTAGACCAAAATATTTAATAACTAAGGTACAGTCTAGCTAAAGAAAGGTTCAGAGAAGGATGAAAAGATTAAATATCACACTTTGAGCTTCGACTTGGCAAAATTAAGAGAGACTAAAAAAGGACCCTAAATGCTAGGAGAAGAGACTAATAATAATTCTATCGCTTATAATAATAGCAACATGGCATTATCAAAGCATCCTTTCCCCTAAACATTTACAATGTCCTCAATCGTCTTCCTAACAAACAATTAAAACCAAAGTAGTCAATCCACAACAGTGGTAAACTGGTAGTATAAGTTAGAGGTGTAGAAAAGAAAACTAGTACTCTGAGTTCCGAAGGGGTCTTCCTTTTAACTGTTGGACCAACTTTGAGGGTGTCGCCACCGATTTGTAGCGAAGCAGTAGTTGATGCACCACGCGCGGCTACTTTCGCCATAATGTGAAATCCTCTCGAAAAACAACCTCGACTTCTTTTCCTGAAATAACACCAACAAAACCAGCTCATCGAACAGAATATGCGCAATTTCCTATTCATGATCAAAATACAGTGGTGACAAGTTCAACTAGATTTCATATAAAAATCAGATTCAAATCAACGCCTCACCCCCAGTGAAGAAAACAATATGGATGTGCCCTAACCGGACATTAACGTTGGGTTTTGAGAAAAGATTTAGGTTTTGCAACAGATTGAACCGTCAGGACAAATCGCGAAAAGGAGGAGGAAGTAGAGCAAGAAGAAGAAGCTGGGAAGTTGCGTTGAAGTGGAGAGCTGAAAATTTTTAGTGGTTTTTGAACAATTAATTTCCCTCCTGTAAATGAGGGCGTTATTTGACGGCTTGTCAATGTGGCACGTGCAGTTAATTAGCTTTGGAGTTGTATTTTAACTTTATCGGCATAATTATGGGTAAACTATATGTTTAGTATTTTAACTATCATTTTTTTGTTTTTGGTCATGTAACATTTTTTGTTTTAAAATCATACCTAATGTTACATTTTGACTTTATTTTGGCCGCTCGGCGTTAAAAAATTAACGGTAATATTGATGCGTTACCATAAGTAATGTCATGTTATCATTAAAAAATTTAAAAATGTCATGTCAACAATTATGTTACTTTTTAACGACTAACCAACATGAAACCAAAATGTAATGTTAAGTATGATTAGGGATAGATCTAGAGGCCCTCAAAAATTTTAAATTTTCATATACTTATATATTTTCTTTGTATTTTCTATTGAAAATATGTTTTCACCCACTAAAATTGTATAAGTCCTCCCCAACTTAAAATTTTATAAGTTTGCATCCTTAACATGAAAATTTTCACTCGTCCCTGAGTATGATTTTGAAAAAAAAAATAGTTGAGTGATCAAAACGAAACAAAAATTATAGTTAGAGTACTAAACATATAATTAACCCTATAATCATTTTACCGATAATTTTGTTTTGTGGCTGAAAAAACTAAGGTTAATTTGTAATGAACTTTAATATAAAATGTTATCACGTCTACTTTAAAAAAATTACACAATTGACAATAATTTTGATTACAACCGACAACGCTATATTATGATGAGTTTTAAACTAAAATGTTATTGTGTCTACTCTATAAAAATACATAATTGATAATAATGTTAGTTACAACTAAGAGTTTCTTGACTATAACTTCTTAGGTTACAATCAGAATGATTATACAATTTAATTATCTCAAGAAATATAATATACATATTTGTGTCACATGTTACAAGTGGCCAATGTATCAATAATGAGTATCTTGATTTATTATTTGTATGGTGTATGAGTGTGCATCATCCCTAAATAAAATCTCTAAAGTGAATTAAGTGAATTGTTAGGGAATATGAGTAGTGATGGGCATGGGTCGGGTTTTTGGTCTTCCCGACCCGAGAAGAAAGGGTCCTCCACTCGTGACCTGACCCGACCCGATGAAATTAGAATTTCATCCGACCCGACCCGACCCCTACCCGATAGACAATTAAAAAATCGACCCGATTTAATTTTTATTTATTAAAAATTGACCCGACCCGACCTATGCCCATCCCTCAAAGTCAAGGTTTTTTTTCGAAAGCAATTGATTATAGAACTAGTCAAAATTGTAGGAAAACAAACCTCAGATACCAGATTTCACAACAAATTTAGATTTTTCTTTATGGTTTGATTCATTTCATCCTTTCCTTTTTGTACATATGATTTTCCTAGTTTTTCTTTTTTTTATATATATACAACATCCTTAATTTTATAAATTTATATTTTCTAACCTTTTAGTTGATTGAATTGGGAACCAAAGGTCCAACCATTTCAATCTCTGGTTCGTATTTTTCTTCTTTTCAACCATGCCCACAATAGTCGATTTCAATTGTGTATCCTCCCAACTTCAATACATACATAAATACATTAAGAACAAAATGACAACAAATGCTGCAAACAAGAAATGAGTCCATAACAAAAATCAAGAAATCATATCTCAAAAACAGAATTTAATAAAGAGAATTTAACAGAGATACATGAATGGTTATCTGTTTTGTTACTTAGAGAATTTAACAGAGAGAGAGAGCGATACAGAGATATCAAATACTTGAAGTAGAGAAATCAAAAAGCGAGTCGCTGAGTCGGTGGCTCAGTGGCTCGAACCCTCGGTAGATAATTTACAAAGGGAATTAGCTAGGGCTCTGACCTCTGCGTTTAAATGTTTGAACTTTGAAGCCTTGAAGGAGATGCTGCAGATGCATCCTGACTCGGGTAGGGTAGGATTAGGGAAAGTAAAAAAAAAGTAAAATAATAATAATAATAATAATGCATTAACTATTCGGGTCGGGTCGGGTAGGATTATTTTAACCCTAAACCTGACTCAAACCCAACTTTGAATATTTTAATATAAAATCCGACCCGACACAACCTGACCCTGAAATTTTTTAAAAAATTCCGACCCGATCTGATCGGAACCTGTCGGGTTTGTGTTTCATGCCCATCCCTATATATGAGACATGAGTTGACACTGTGAAATATGATAATATAATGAATTTAGTACTCGATAATCTTGAATATGTTAGGAGCATTAAAACGTGGTAGTAAATCACGGTTTGCTTTTGTTTAACCTTGATTCTTGTGTTTATATCATAGTGCTTAATCCATTTAATGAGTTTAGTGAAGCTTACACTCATTGAATCTAATTGAAATTGTTTGTTTTTTGGATGAAAATACCCTTTATTGAAATTGTTTATTTGGGAGTTAAAAAAACACATTGTCGTTATTAATCGCCCAGTTAGCAATACTTTCTATAAACACTTTTAGTTAAAAACTTTGTTTTAATTGGGGAACCAATGTCAAACGGATAAAACTGAAAAAAAAAATCAATGAAAACGGTGTGTCGCAATAGTTCTTCGGGTGGTCCCGGGTTCGTGTCTTAACTTGTAATCGTGATATAGTTGCCACTGACTTATTTCGAATTAGGTGGATCAGACACCTCGAACTTATCATTTACCCGATCTACGTTTTACTAGAGATTTGTTAGATTCGGGAGTCGTTTACGATCAAAGAAGGATGAACACCATCGAGTAGCTCTTTCGATACCAATCGATTACCTAATTGTCTTAATTGCAAAAATTTAAATTTAAATAAAAATTAAAATTGATCTGAATTATTTACCTTTGACGATCATGAAAGATTCAATTGAATTCCCTTAAAAAAATAAAATTAATGTTAGGGGAAAAATAAATAAGAGAAAATTATAAATAATAATAATAATAAAGTAATTAAAACACTGAAAATCCCAAAAAATGTACCAATTTAGATAAAAAAAATAAGTAAATAAAATAAATAAATAAATAAAAAAGGACCAAATTGCATTAAATATAAATTAAGCGGCCAAATTACAACAAGTGATCAAATTGAATTACGCTTCAAAAGTATATGGACTACAAAAATAATTTAAGAATTTGATATTTTCACATTATGCCTCACTATAAATAGGTATTTTCCCACTTTTTATTTTATTTTTAGCTCTCCTCCCAAAAAAATACACTCAAAGCTCTCAAGTTCTCTCCCCCTCCCAGGCATCCGATCTTCTTCCCTAACGAGCTCGCCACCGCCCATCACTGCTCCGACGTCTCCCTGGCCACCACCCATGGTGGTCAAAATACCCAAAACCCCCCAAATTCTCCCCTATTCACGTTAAACACAAATCCAACCACTAAAACTCTGAAACACCTAACCCCAAGCGTAGATCTAAACCCAAAGCTCTTGACGTTTTATCTTTTCATCGACTACTATTTGATTTCTTGATAACCTTTGGCTCTCCGATAGCCATTCATTTCTTCCTTCATTCGATCTTTTATTTTTTTAGGGTTTTTTGGATTTCAAAAAATTGATCCCTCTTTTCTTTATAAGGTTCACTTTATAATGGCTCGAACGAGGACAAATTCTTTTTTCTGGACCATTAAATGGGATTTTTGCCCCTTGCTCAATGATTTGATGTGATTCTTCTTAAAAAGGGTTTTTTTAATTTGGTTGACTCAATTTGTTTCCATGCATGTCAATTTGGTTTAATTTTTACTCTCATTCATCCTTATCCTTGGTTTGATTCCGTCAATTATGTTGCCTTTTGGATTCAATTTGTTTCTTCGTTTGGAACTATTTCCAAAAAAATCAACTAAGATGGCCCATGAATTACTTTTGTTCAATGTGTGGTTCGCGTTTGGGATTACTTCACCAGTGCGTGGGCTTCACGCATCGTTAATTGACCGATAGGTGACCCTTCGATCCTCTTGATAAAATATCGACAGTTGGATCATCAAGCCAAATCCAAGGGTGACAAGGAGACTATATAGGTTAGTTTAGGGTTTTCTCTTAACCCTAAATATGATCTCTAATTTGTACCATTGATTTGTGCTTCGATCCGACGGCTCACGGAAAGGCGACGCTTGGCTTGATCTTCAAAACCCTAATGCTTCAAGTTTCTTCTCTTGGTTTGGCAAATTGGTCTGCTGGATCAGGAAGGCTCGCCTACTGGTCTACCCGATGAGTGCTTCTCTTTTGGATCCTGACCAGGCATGCTTAATGGGTCAGACTTATAGGCTTACAGGCTCGGTTGAACTTGAACCCTTGCTATGATTTGGATCACTGCTTGTTTGGACTGCTTCTGAACCCTTACCTTGGACTTGATTTTCACTTAACCCTCTTAATTGGATCTAAAATTAAAAAAAATTAATAAAAAGTATTAATAATAAATAATATAATATAAATAATATATTATATATTATAATATATATTTTCCAAAAAAAACTATTAAATATATTATATATTTTTAAAAATTATAATATATATAATATATATAATACTATATATAATATAAATACTATAATATATAATATATAAACCCTTGAAGTAACCCCGGGCGAGAATGAGTGTCTATAGTTGCCCCTCTTTGT